CAGTCATTGCATTAATGACTACAGACAGTCCTTTGGCCACCCGAAAGGTGTAAAATATATAAAATTCTTTAAAGATCAATTAATTCCTTCTGGCAACTAACTTACTATTATTATTATTATAAACAATTCCTTGATGGTGTATTTGAGTTTTGAGTTTTATTTTCATTTTTGTTTTCTTTTGAGATAGATCTTATTTAGTTTGGGATGGTCTGGGATTTTCAATGTAGCCAGTGCTGGCCTGAAATCTTGCTAGTCCTCCCTCCAACCCCCAGGGCCCAAGATTCCAGGCAAGAGCCATCAGGCCTGGGCCCGTTGATGATACATTTGTATGATTGTCTCAATGTAGAATAAGTGAGGTTGTTTTGGTGCTGGGGATCAAACCCAAGTCCTTCCACATGCCATTGAACTAAACTGGAAGTTCTCAACCTGGGTCTTGACCCCTTTGGGCTGTTAAATGACCTTTTCACAGGGGTCACCTACCTTATATACTATATATTAGGCATTTACATTACAATTCATAACAGTAGCAAAAGGGACCCAGCATCAGGAAGTTTGGAACCCCTGAACTAAACCCTAGCTCTCACAGGTCTGTTTGTACGTGTGTGGGTAGGTTTGAGTGTATGCATTTATATACATGTGCCATGTGCATGCCTGATGCCTGCAGGGGCTAGAAAACTGTGTAGATCCCCTGGAACTGGAGTTACAGGCAGTTATGAGCTACTGTGTGGGTGCTGGGAACCAAACCTGTGTCCTCCGAAGGTACCCTTAACCTCTGAGCTGTCTGTCTAGCACTGGTCACATAGGTTTTTTGTTTTGTTTTGTTTTGTTTTGTTTTGTTTTGTTTTTTTTTTTTTTTGTTTTGTTTTGTTTTGTTTTGTTTTGTTTTGTTTTTTTCTTGTTTGTTTGTTTGTTTTCGAGACAGGGTTTCTCTGTGTAGCCCTGGTTGTCCTGGAACTCGTTCTGTAGACCAGGCTGGTCTCGAACTCATAGAGATCCACCTGTCTCTGCCTCCCAGGTGCTGGGATTAAAGGCGTGAGCTGTCGTCACTGCTACTCCAGGCTTGGTCACATAGTTTTTTAAAGCCCAACATTCAGTGCCCAAGTTCTTTGCAAAGGGTTGTACTGATGTGCACTCCTACCAGTGGCAGGTAAGAAAAACTCTGGGTTTCTGCAGCCTACATGCAAAGTATGTAGTACTTTTTTTTTTTTTTAAAGAAAAATGGGAGTTCCCTTACCCTCAGTTTCCCTAACAGGAATACTGAATAGAACCCTCAGTAACTCCCACATGCCCAAAACAGTTGTTCAGAATATCTGGTATCTTTCATGTCTGCACTCTGAAACACAGTCAGATGGAATATAATTAAGAATATTTTTTAGATCAAGAGTGTTCTTTTGGTCATTCGTAAGGCCAATGAAACATTTAAAAAGAAGTTCCTGTGGAGGCCTCATTGGGGTCCCTGACTGGAGTGACGTGGTCTCAGTGCTGTGTCTCTCTCTGGAGACATCGTGCTCTAAGGAACTGTGCCTCTAGGTCCTAGGTGTGTAGTGTCTGTTCTTTATCACTGAGCTAACAGCAAATGGTGGCTGCTGAATTTCAAACATGGTCATCTTTCTGAGAGAGAAAGAAGGCACTACACTCATGGTAGAGCATGTCCCCTGGCACAATGTACTTAAAGACCCTCTTTCCCTGGGACCTGAGCTCATTATTTTAATAACTAAGTCATCAACAGGTGCACAACCTTATATTTGTAATTTGAGATTAAAATCATTTTCCAACCAAATTCCCAAATACTTCTCCTGAGAAACCCCTACACATCAGGAACAAAATATAATCATTTACCAACTGAATCCCCTGCTATAGAACAAGAAACCTGCAACAGGTGTGTGTGTGTGTGTGTGTGTGTGTGTGTGTGTGTGTGTGTGTGTGTGAGAGAGAGTGTGTGTGTGAGTGTGTGTGTGAGTGTGAGTGTTGAGTGTGTGTGTGAGTTGTGTGTGCATGTGAGCACAGTGAAAATGACTTCTCCCTGCTTTTGTTATCAAGTTCAAAGTCAATTTACTTTGTTTTCTTTTCAGCTTCCTCCCTCCCTCCCTCTTGTCCTTCCTTCCTTCCTTCCTTCCTTCCTCCCTTCCTTCCTTCCTTCCTTCCTTCCTTCCTTCCTTCCTTCCTTCCTTCTTTCTTCTGTTTTGCTGCTATATATTAAACCCAGGGCCCCAGGCCTCACTGAACTACAAAACAAACCTTACTAATGTTTTTTTTATATTAAAAAGAAAAAAAGACAAGAAAGTGGAAGGTAGAGCTGGTGGGTAGGGGAAGGCAGTCATCAGGAGTTGACACAAGAGGACAAGGGGACAAATGGGTTGAAGGTCATTCTGTACATGTATTAGAATGTCATCATGAAATCCATTGTTATGTCATTACTATGTGCTAATTAAAAAAAATTTAGGGGCTTTAGGAATGGCTCAGTGGTTAAGAGCACTGGCTGCTCTTCCAGAGGACCTGGGTTCTAATTCCCATCACCCATATGGACGTTCACAACTGTCTGTAAATCCAGTCCTAGGTGAACCAGGCTCCTTTTCTGGCCTTCACAGGCACTGCACATGCATGGCACACAGACATACTTGCAGGCAAAACATCAATACACATCAAATTTAAAAATGAAAACATTTTAAAAATTATTCATCGAATGTATGTATTTTAAATACCCTTTGAAGGTCATAGGATACCCACTGAAGGCATTTTGTCATTCCTGGTTTTGAACTTACAGCTGTGGGCTCCTTTTCTTTAATAACTAAAAGCATTTTGAGCCTTGTCACACAGGTTTCACGTCACCGAGGCACATGATGTGTTAGGTTTTGTAAACCTTTTCCTAACAATTCTACGTGTTGACTTGAAATGTATATGATAAAAAAACAAAATGAGTATAAAGGAAGAGTAGTTTAAGATGGGCAGCTACCGGGTGGTGGTGGCACACACCTTTAATCCCGCCCTCAGCAGGCAGAGGCAGGGGGATCTATGAGTTCCAGGACAGTCAGGGCTACACAGAGAAACCTGTTTAAAAAAAAAAAAAAAAAAAAAAGATGGGCCGTGCCAGCAATAAGGGATGGCCAGTGTGAACCAAGATAAGGTGAAAGAAATCAGGATAAACTTTGTCTAGCAATTTTAGAGAAATGGATCCAAATGGGCTGTGCGATGTATTCATGAGGTCACAGTGGTAACAGAATAAGTTCACCCATTATATATTTTAAAAAATAAAATCACATAAAGTAATCTACTCTGCTTTCATATGGTCGGTCGCCAATTAGTTTTCCTAGGCAGCTGTGAGATTATAATTCATAGATGGCCAGCAAGCAATCTCCACTGAGCTCCTTGCGGGCCACATTGAAGGAAGAAACAACATGTGAGTGCGTATTTTATGCCTACGTTTGTTCTAAAAAGGAAGAGATGAGCCAGCCAGCGTCTGTCTGTGCTGGACTGCCTGAGGTCCACGGGTCAGATTTCTGGTGACCACAGGTTTCACGTACAGCAAGGCAGCAACGTGTGCTGAGTCAACATGTCTCAGGTGGCACTGTGACCTTACCGTGTAACCAAACCCAAACCCATCTGAGAAGAATTAGAGAGTCAAGTGTTTTATAAGCTGGGCAAGGAAGTGCATGTCTTTAATCCCAGCACTCAGGAGGCAGAGGCAGGTGAACTGCTGTGAATTTGAGGCCAGCCTGGTCTTTATAGTACATTGCTGGCCAACTCTAAGATTATACAGAAAGATCCTGTCTTTTAAAAAGAGATTAAAATTTAGGAGGAAGTTAAAGAACATCTAAATCAAAATTTATATTTAAATCTGCATTTTAAAGAAGAGAAAGAAATACAGACTTCATTCCTCTATTTGACACGCTTGAGCACTGGATGAAGAGTCAGGTGAGGGGAAGAAAGCCAACACACCCTCTCCCCTGAGATCTCTGGACCAGAAAGGGGTAACAACCACCTAATCTGCTGACAACAAAGTTTTGTATTTCGACCTTTTGTATAAATAATAATAATAATAATAATAATAATAAAGCAAAATCCCTGAGAAAGTTGATATGCTTGTTAATGTCTTTTTGCTATAGAGTTTATACCAGTTAACAGCAAAAGAATACTAATAAAAATCACCTAGAGGGATGGTGGTTGGGCAGTTAACAATGAGTGTTCCCCCACAGTCTCCATACTGCACATCCTTCCCAAAAGAAAATTGTGGTGGTTTGAATGAGACTGGCTGTCATAGGCTCATACATTTGAATGCCTGGTCACCAGGGAGTGCAACTACTTCAGAGGACTGAAAGGATTAGAAGCTGTGTGTGGTAATATATTATTCATGATTCAATAAAGCTTGCCTGAGGGTTCAGACCGCAAAGCTAGCCACAGGCCATAGAGGTTAGACAGTGGTAATACACACCCTTAATCCCAGCAGCCATACGAGCTAGCCATAGAGCTAGGAGAGGGTGGCACACATCTTTAATCCCAGGACTCAGGAGACAGGCAGATGGATCACTGTTAGTTCAGGGCCACACCGAACTGCATGAAATTGATCCAGTCCTAAAGAGAAAACAGCTCATACAAAGGTGATCTCGGCACTTGGGATCACGTGCCTTTAATCCCAGCCTTAAGGAAGTGTAAAAGGAAGAAGCAAAGGGTCTCATGTAGAGATTTAGTTTCCAGACAGGAAAAGCTATTATCTCTGAGGATTTGTGGAGCAAGGGATTACCCTTTCAGTCTGAGGTAGAGGTAAGAGCTAGTGGCCGGCTGCTTTGCTTATCTGACAATAGGCATGCTTTATTAAGTTATAAACAATATATCACTACAGGTGTGAACTCATTGGAGGAAGTGTGTCACTGGGGGTGGGCTTTAAGGTTTCAAAAGCCCATGGCACTACTGTCTCTTTCTCTATGTCTCTCTCTCTCTCTCTCTCTCTCTCTCTCTCTCTCTCCCCCCTTTCTCCCTCCCTCCCTACAAATCATGATGTAGATCTCAGCTACTCCAGCACCTGCCATGATGATAATGGACTGAACTCTGAAACTGTAAACCAGCCCCAATTAAATGCTTTCCTTTGTATGCCGTGGTCATGATGTCTCCTCACAGCAATAGAACTAAGGCAAAAGAATGAAGAGCAGGGTGCAGCAGGTCACAGTTGTAATCCCATCACATGGGAGATGGAGGCAGGAGTTCAGAGTTGGGGGCCAACCTGGCCTGCAAGACAACTGAAATCTCTCTCCGGGTCCTCAGGATTGCGTGGCAAGCGATTCTCCCCAATCATCTCACCCGCCCACATGTCTATGTTTGGTAATTTGATTTTTTTCTCTTTTTTTAAAATTATTTTTTACATTCCAATCCCAGTTCCCCTCCCTCCTTCCCTCCCACTCCCTCCACTCCCCCCTCCTCCCTTGATTTTATTTCTGAGCGGGTTTTTACTCTGTAGCCCAAGCCTGGCCTTGAACTAACAATCCTCCTATCTCATCCTTCTGGTGCCAGGATTACAAGTGTGTGCCACCCGCCCACCCCCGCACCTGCACACTTTGTATTTGATCTTAGGAAAAACAAAACATGAAGTTATATTTTCCCAAAAGCATCTCTCAGTACTTTGGTATTTTAAGTCATTCTATTTGAAATAGTGTCACTAATCAAGTGTCTCTCATCTTTATCATTCATTGGACATGGAACTGCCAGTTCTCATGGCTCTGCCCGCCAAAGGCTCTCCCTTCCAACCTGCAATCCAGGTGCGTCATCACTGTTATTGCTTCATGAAATGCTGTGCTTCATAGTAAAGCTGCATTCTCACTTTGAAGAGGGTTTACACTTTGTTTTCAGTGTATTGTTGGATGGCTGACAGGCCAACCTTCCTACAGCCACAGGTGCTGGTGTCACACTGAGAGAGATTTTAGGACCCCCGAAGGCAAGAACTGACCTCCACAGGTGGACCGCTGCACCGTGCCCAGACTCACACACAAAGATAAATAATGGAAAAAAAAAAAACCCACAAAGCTATCACTATGCTATCATAAAATGTTATCAGAAAAACTGAAAGTTATATTCGTTTATCTTTACTTTTATGCTTTTACTCATTTTAAATTCTGGGCTGTCCAGATGGCTTGACAGATGGCAGTGCCTGCCCCCAAACCTGTCAACCTGTGTACAGTTCCCAGGGTCCACATGGTGACAGGAAAGAACCAACTCCTACGAATTGGGCCTGAACTCTGACCTCTACCCATGTGTGAGTGCACACACACTCAGATAAATGTAATTTTTGAGACTATGAATTTAATAAATGTAGTTTGGGAAAAAATTTGGTGGCGAAAACCTGATAATGAAAACCAAAAGTCTAGTCCAGCGCCTCTCTAATTTCATTGCCTGAGGCATGGTTTTGTTTTTTCTTTTCTAAGAGCGTGTGACACGTAGCCCAGAAAGGTGCGTGCAGAGTTTCATTGACGCAACACTTAGCCAACCCATCTCATGACTAAGTCTCAGAAACAGCTCTAAGCGTGCCATTTAGAGAACCTAAAACAGGCTCGGTTAACTCTTAGCTGTCCTCAGGGTGGTGGTGTGGTTCTGCTGCTACTTCCTGATTTCTGTCTTAGAAGTTACCTACTGACTGCTTCTTGGACTGGATCTCACCCACCCCTCTGCCCACTGAACCACAGTGGTTTAAATCGTTCATCAATTGTTAATGAGATGGACATTATTCCTGGCATTTGTTTTACTTGGAGTTAATAGGTGCCTTGTTGTTTTTTGCTTGCACAAGTTGCTGTACAGGTTTTCTTATCCCTCCCTAGGGTTCCAGGTGGTCTGCCAGGGACATCTCCTCACTGCTCTTTCGGGTCCCATGCCTTCTTTCAGGGTATGTTCACACATCCCCTCGTTTTGCTGTATTTTATCACTTGTAGTATCTTTTTCTTTTTTTTTTCAGAGGTGTTTGGGAGGTCATTTTATGTGTCTTTTTTTATGCTTTAAAGTGTTTTGGGGAGATCAGAAGACAGCCTAGGGTATAAATCCTCACTTTCTGTACTGGGCAGTGTTGTGTCAACTTGACTCAAGTTAAAGTCATCTGAGAGGAGGGAGCCTCAGTTAAGAAAGTGCCTCCATAAGATCCTGCTATAGGCAACCCTATAGGGCATTTCCCTAATTAGTGAGGTGGGAGGGCCCAGCCCATTGTGGGTGGGACTATCCCTGGACTGGTGTTCTGGGTTCTATAATAAAGCAGGCTGAGCAAGTCAGTAAGCAGCTCCCCTCCATGGCCTCAGCGTCGGGGCCTGCCTCCAGGTTCCTGCCCTGACTTCCTTCAGTGATTGGACAGTGATATGTAAATGTAAATCAAATAAACCCTTTCCTCTCCAGGTTGCTCTGGTCATAGTGTTTCATCACAGCGGCAGAAACCCTAACTAAGACACCTTTGTTGTTCACCATCCTATATGACAAGCTAACTGACACACAGGTTTCTGTGGATTCTCATGTCTCCATACCAAATCTTGCCCTGGGAGCACTGGGATTGAAGAAGCCCACTATTGTGCTCAGCTCTACATGGGCTCTGGGGATTCGAACTCAGGTCTTTGTGCTGGTGTGGCAGGCACTTCATTCACTACTTCATCGCCTCAGCCCCACCATGTTGGAAGTTATTTTTATCTCATTTTCACAGTTGATTGCTAGCTTGGCTAGACATAGTCTCCTGGGCTGACAACTAACTTGCTTTCTCATCTCATTGTGATAGAAATTGTATTACTAAGAAAATCTTCCTCTTCTCTTCACAGAATTCTGTCTTATCTTTCCATGCTGCTGTATCTCCATCACCTCTGGAGGATTATCTCATGTGCCTGTTAGAAACCCTGGCACCTGGCTTGGATACTGGGGTGGTTTGAATAGGAATGGCCCCTACAGACTCATGTGTTTGAATGCTTGGCCCTTAGGGAGTGGCACTATTGGGAGGTGTGGCCTTGTTGGAGGAAGCATGTCATGGTGGGGGCGGACTTTGAGGTCTCCTATGCTCAAGCTATATCCAGTGTGGACGCAGTCTCCTGCTGCTGCCTCCTGAGTCAAGATGTAGGGCTCTCAGCTTCTTCTCAGCACCAAGTCTGCCTGCGTGCCACAATGCTTCCTACCATGATGATAATGGACTAAACTTCGGAACTGTAAGCCAGCCCCAATTAAATATTTTCCTTTGTAAGAGTTGCTGTGGTCGTGGTGTCTCTTCACAGCAATGGAATACTGAGATAGATATACTGCAATCAGCCAACTCCACAGCAATGTAGTGTACTTCCTGGGATCAAGTGTGTGTATATTCTCTTCTCTCTGGTTTTACTGAGATTGTTCCATAGGATAAACTCCATTACTATTTTAAAGTATTTTTTTTCTTTTTGGTGGTTTGGCTCAGAAGGATACGGAGCATTGAATCCAGGGTCCTTCACAAGCCAGGCAAATACCCAACCATTCACCTATATATACATCTTGCTTTATATATCCTTTCTATATAATCTAGGCCACTCTTGAACTCCTGGGCTCAAGGAATTGTCTCTGCCTCCCAAGTAGCTGTGACTATAGGCATATGCCATTGCACTAACTCCACCAATCCTTTGCCCAAGGGGAAATGGCCATAAGAGGAGGGTGTTAGGTTCCAGATCAAATTCCTCTGTACACAGTTTTAATTAAATCCCTGATGTTGAAATTTACCATTCCTCCAAATGCCTAGTTCCCCCATAATGTTAAGGGACAAACAGACACAATAGCAACCAATGAACTGTGGGCCAAGATCAGCTTCTACTGTCTGAAGACTATGGTCATTCCCTTCAGCTCGTGTTCCTGGGATCATTATGGGCTGGGTTTAGGTCTTAACTTTCCCTTTAATAACCATGTGACTTTAGGCAATGGATTTCCACAGCTAACTTCTGCTTACCAAATAGAGATAAGTAAATGCTACCTCCTCGAGTGGTGAGGAGTGAATGAGACAGTCTATGCCCAATACAGAATACTATGGCTAGAGCCAGAAACCCATGCACAGTTAACTTCTGAAGCTACTTCCAGGTCTAAATCTCTCACAGTTCTATGACTTTCATGTTAATTCCTAGGAAAATTAAACTAAACAAGAAAGTCAGCCACATGATTTTTTTTAGATAAGAAACTAAATTACAATGGGCTAAGTATAAAAGTTTGTGAGTTTAGCCAGGTGGTGGTGATTCATACCTTTAATCCCAGCACTCTGGAGGCAGAGGCAGGTGGATCTCTGTGAGTTCAAGGCCAGCCTGGTTTACAGAGAGTTCTAGAACAGCTAGGGCTGATACACAAATAAACCATGTCTTGAAAAAAAAAAAGTTTGTGAGTTTTTCTGGCTTGAGTTCTTGCATTATGGCCAGAAGAAAGTTGACAGTAAGTTCTTCTCAAAAGCATTCTGTGCTAAAAGGCTCACACCTTACCGCCATTGTCTTCCCCTGCTCAGATTAAAGGACTCTGCTCCAGGCAGCTTACAAGTTTATAGGTCTAAACCAAACCCATAGTGGCTACAGGAATGTGTTCAGGACAGACAGGAATCACAGTCCAGAGCTAATTCTTTGCCTGTGAACATTTTCCCTGAAGTATTCTTTTCCCTTTTGTGAAGGACAGGATGTTCCAAATCAGTGAAATGATTTTATTCAGGAGATGGAATGGATAAAGTAGTGTCTGAGAAGAGACCAGGGCAAGGACCTCCACAAAAGAAACATTCCAGAATACTTGCAAAAAATGTTAGTCAAGTGTCTTGTGCATGTTAGTCAAGTCTTCTTGTCACATGTTCGTGTGGCTACAGAATTGGGGACATCGTGTCTCCACACCTCCTTTTAGAAGATGTGAAGCCTCAGAAAAGGGGCCAGCCACCTTCAAGTTTAGAAGGAGGGGATCCAGTGAGTTCTACCACAATGGTGGCGTGCAGCAAGGCATAGCCAAGGTGACGATGAAGGGATGTCCCAGAAGGAATCATGCACAAGGCTAGGAAGAATTGCTTTAGACTACAAGAGGACAACAGAGTGTTGTGGGCAGGGCGAAGACGCCACTCCAGAGGGGAAAACATAAGAGCAACTGATGAATTATCTGATGGCTGTGTTTCTAGAAAGAATATCTTTGGGGTTTTGTTGTTGTTTTGTTTTGTTTTATGAAGCTGGAGTCATTAACAAACTAAACAAAATTAAAGCAGCTATTGATATTAAGAGTATGAAAAGTTCTAGAAATACATGGCTTGTCTGGGAGCAAAATCACAACGTTTCAAATGCTACGTAGGGGAGGGGCTTGAGAGTTACAAACTCATGCTGCTCACAGAGAACCGAGAGACCAGGCCTAAAGTTTTAAAAAGGAGTTTTATAAGGAAATACCAGAAGAAATAGCTATGATAGCTAAAGATGATTACCCTCAAGGAATTGGAAATAGGAGGAAGAAAGGGCAGAGAAAGCCCTGCTGTCTGTTATGATCTGTGGCATCAAGTGACATTTGATTGTTTTCGATGAGAAAAATAATATTTTAGGAAATCACATTTGATCGTTTTTTCCTCAGTCTGATGCCCAGTCACATTTGGCACTGCACATTCTGTGAATGTGACTGAGATGTGAACAAGCCAGTGTTGCTTGCGGGCTTCCGCCATCATAAACTCTGCCATGCCTTCCTCACCGTGAAGCACTAACGCTTCTGAAATTATGAGCCAAAATGAAGCCCTTCCCTCCCCCAGGTTGTCTGGGGCTGGTATCTTGTCACAGATATGTAGAGTGTAGCTAGCATGTATAACTTGTATCAACCGCCTTAGTCATTCACTCATAGCTTACTATTATGTGAGCAAAATGATGATACTTTAGGAGCGAGCGCCAAGTCCACTTTGCATTTAATGCTCTATGCTTTACTTACAGGTGTGAAATAGTTTGGTGGGAATCTTTGAACCGAAGAACGAAATACGAAGCTCCTGTATGAAAAAAAAATAAAATTAAAAAGTGGTTTTCTAAATCTGTTTTTTGTTTTTTGTTTTTTTTTAAAAGTGAAGATCTTTGTTAATTTATTTCTCATCTCTCACTAAATACTTTAAAACACTAATCTGGACATGAGGTGCCTGGTAAGGTTTAAAAGCCACGGGGATTGGTACATAGCCACATATGTAAACATGAGGTCTTGTGTGAGCTCTAGAGTAGCTCAATGGGCTTATAGTTACCTGGAAGAACTCTTGGGAACAGGAGCAGGGAGTAACTCATACTGTCCTGGGCAAAGGTGGAGTGACTGCATAGAAGGGACAGACACAATGGTAGATTAATACAGTGCCAAAATATCTTCATTCATAACCTTTGATTGTGTAGCCACGCAACATTTCCTCCATGTATTCCCTACTGCCAGAAAAGGTTCTCTTTCAAAAGCGGGGCTTCAAGACATTTAACATGTATTTGCTTTCCATACATATGTATGGTGTTAGTTTGTTTGAGACAGGATTGTAGTGGCCACCACTACAAGTCCCCTGGCAAAACAAGATGCCACTGCGCTGATGCCACTACACCGGATCTCACGGTGAAACTTTGGCTGTCCTGGGACTTGATATGTAGGCGAGGCTGGCCTCGAATTCACAGCAATCCACTTGCCTCTCCCACCCCAACCCAACCCCCACCTGAGCTGAGATTAAAGGCATGTGCCATTATGCCTTCCCCTCACTTTATATAAATTTAAATCCTTGTTTATAGAATTTTTGGGGTTCACAATAAAATTGAGGCGTGTTCAATGGTTTCCCCTGGTTCCCTTGCCCTTACATTAGGTGCAGGAGTTCCCTGTTAGCAACATAGGTTATTGAGCTTACATCACATATTGTGTGCACTAAAGGTTCATGATGGCATTAGAGTTCACCCTTGGTGTAGTTTATAATATAAATATATATATATATATATATATATATATATATATATATATATA